GAAGACTCAAGGTGAAAATCCTAAAAGGGCATTTTGAGTCATAGGAGATTTATCTAAGTTGAAAACCTGAAAAGACAGCTTAGATAAGAAAAATATAGCATCAAATTTGAAAATCCATTGGCATAGAGGCTAGCAAATTCGAATGAGCTTTAAGTTGTTAAATGCATCAGATGGTTGGATTTTCAAAAAAAATCTTGAGATATGCTATCATGATTGTCCGATTGTTCATTTTTAGGCTTTGTCTCCTCATACTTATCCTTGTAATTCTTCCTTGGCCAAAATTTACCAATATTTTACTAATAAAATACATTCTATTTCATTTTTTGTGTGCCTCTTCTGGTGATTATTTCTCAACCATTCTTATTCTTTTCTTCTTAATACCCTACAATGAAAGAAATGTGCAAATGCATTCTTACTTTTTAAGATTGAAATAATGATTGATAAATGAATAATGGCATGAAAGATTTTTACATTACATTGAAGAAGTCAATAGTGATAAAGGCAGAATCGAGATGTTCAGTTCCTAATAAGGACATTAAATTTGGAAAAAGATTTCTTACAAAAAGAATATGAGAATTGAGTGAAAAAGATGATTGAGAGCTACACTGATTCAATATTAGAAAAACAGTGTAATTTGATCTTTGAAGAATCAAGGGTTCGAGGCTCAAGAAAAGAACTTGAAAAACTTGAGTACCATAATTGAATAAGAATCAATTAGCCGACATTTGCATAGCATGCATTGAATTTCACACGCATTGCATAGTATATACTACATTTAAGAAAATATAGTGCATAAATTTCAGAAGCAGAGGTATTCCAAAATCTCACATAGAGAAGACAGATTGAAGACAGTTTCAAATTTGAGAAAAAGCTTATCAGGTAAGTTTCTAATCCTCGAAATAGGATATCTCTCAGTATCAGGGTTGATTTGTAAGACTTTTAGGTATAATCTCTTGAAATTCCTTCAAATACGATTTTCAACTCTTTTGGACATGATTGTCAATGAGCAATTTATTTTTTAAAGTTTTGATGCCTCTGTTTAGAGGAGCAATCTATTTTTCAAAGTTGTGATACATCTGTTTAGAGGAGCAATTTACTTTTCAAAAGTCGTTGAGCCTCTATTCAAAGGAGCAATTTATTTTTCAAAAGTTGTTAAGTCTCTGACTAGAGGAACAATTTATTTTTCAAAAGTCGTTAAAACTCTGATTAGAGGAGCCTATTATTTTTAAAAGTTGTTGAGCCTCTGTTTAAAGGAGTTTTGTTTATCTTTTTAAAAGTCGTTGAGCCTTTGTTTAAAGGAGCTTTGTTTATTTTTCTGAAATCATTGAGCTTTTGTTTAAAGGAGCTTTGTTTATTGTCCAAAGTCATTGAGCATTTGCTTAGATGAGCCTTCGCTTATTCTTCCAAAGTTGTTGAGTATCTGTCATTGAGCCTCTACTTAGAAGAGCATTGATCAAAATTTAAAAAAAAAAAAGATAAAAAAAAGGTGTCAAATTGAGTCTTGAATGGGTGTCTACATCTTTGCACAATTCCTGTTTCACAAAAAACGTACAAAGAGGGACAGCTGTAGACACCCAATTTGATCCAGGTCCAGATCAATTGGGCCTGGTCCAAATGGGTAAACCCATTTCAGTTTATTTTATTTTTTATTCTGTATTTTATATTTTATATTTTTTGTATTTATTTATTTATTATTACTATTTATTAATATATATATATTTTATTATTATTACTTGTCTGTTTATATATCTATTATTATTATTATATATCTATTATTATTATTATTATTTATCTATTAATTAATATATTATCTTTATTTTTTTTCTTTTCTTTCTTTTCTTCTTTCTTTTTTTTGCTCACCCAATTGGAATTAGGATTAGGATAAAAGCTAAAATTCTACCATAAATTTGGGATTTCAATCAGAATCCAGATTGAATTCAAGGATTAAATCCCAGTCCAAGAGGGAATTGAGATTGATCAAAAATTCTTATGATCAATCTCTATAAATAGGTGCTGGAATAGAACAGAAGACACTGACAGAGAGAGAGTGAAAAGAGAAGGGAAAAAGCCATTCAAAAATGTCAGAAGCAATTTCATGATTTTTTGGAGAATTTTAGGCGAATTTTTTTCTGAAAATTTTTGAAAAATTTTCATATTTCGGTTGACTTTTTCGACCAAGTTTGAATTTTTTGGCCAAGTTTGAGTTTTTCGACCATTTACCCAGTTTTCGATAACTATTTTCAAAAATCGACCAACTTTTTGGTGAACTTCCGATAAAAAACCTAAATTTTGATGATATTTTTCAGAATCCGACGAGATTCAACAGAGTTTTTCGTTGGTTTAGAGAGAGGAAAGAGAAAAAAAGGGAAAAGAGAGGGAGGAGGAGAGATCTGCTAAAAAACAGAGAGGATAGCCTTTTATACTCGCTGAAAACGACGTCGTTTTGGTGTTACTGTTCCCAGAGGATCCGCCCATTTTGAAATCGAAAGACCCGATCCGAGCGTTGACCCGCGTGTGACTCGAGTGCCATCCGACCCCTGGAGCCGAGCCGACGCCTCCTGAACCGCATCTTCGAGCCACCCTTTCTTCCTTAAGTCGAGTCGAGCTGAGCCGCTAAGCCGAGCTGTTTCAAGTTTTTTTTATTTTTTGTTTATTTATTTATTATTATTATTATTATCATTATTATTATTTATTTATTAGATTAGAATTATTTAGTATTTCTTATTTTATTTTATTTTATTTTTATCTTTATTTTTATTTTTATTTTTTATTTTTATTTATTTATTTATTTTCTTTAAATAAATTTCCAAAAAAAATATTTTTAAGGAAAAGTTGAAAGTATCAATTTTTCTCAAAAATAAGTTTTCAAAAAAAATATTTTTAAAGAAAAGTTGAAAGTATCAATTTTTCTTGAAAATAAGTTTTCTAAAAAGTATTTTCGAGGAAAAGTTAAATGTATCAATTTTTTTTAAAAATTATTTTTCAAAAAGATTTTTTTTTGAGAAAAAGTTAAAAGTATTGATTTTCCTTGGAATTAAAGTTTCAAAAAATATTTTGAAGAAAAGTTGAAAGTATCAATTTTCTTGTAAAAAGCAATGAATTTTGAAGAGAAAAAGATTTACATCTAAAGCTGAATCATTTTTTATTTATTTATTTTCTTTTCCTTTTTCTTGAATTTTTTTTAATGTTAAATAATCTGACGATAGAGCCCCTACAAGTGAAACAATAGTCTTTTTGCATACCCTTGAGGTGAGAAAATTTTTTCAATTTTCTGCTAAAAGTATTAGAGTCAATTGAAAATAATTTTCAATAATTAATTACTTGATAAAATTTTAAGGCTTATTGGATGACACAAAATTAAACTGATACCATCTTTCGATGAGCGTTGTGAGGGTGCTATAACCTTCTTCACACGTAACCGAATTCTCGAATCCTGTTCTGGTTAGTAGACCTGAACCTATTCTTTTAAGGATCATTAAGCTTAGGTGTTCTTTGAAATGATAGATTCCTTAGATGGTCAATCGCACTTAAATAAAAAGATTGGTGATGATTCCTTAAATCAATATCTAACGATAGATCTTCGGATCTATGTGTTATGACAAATAAAAACGAGAAAAGGGAATTAGATGCAACATCAACAGTTGTCTTTATTGTTTACCAAATTTCAGAACAAACTATCCATAATTATATTAATATATATATATATATATATATATAGGAAAATTCTGCCGATAATGAACGGAGGAATCTTTAAGCAATAAGAAGCAACCCCGTTTTTCATTTTTTGTTAGCTTTGAGGGTGAGTCATAGGAAGGAATCTCAGAGTGGCAAAATTGGTAAGACCAGCGCTGCAAATTTTACCTTGATTTAATGTGAAGTGCCAAATACATAGTCGACAAATACAAGGTACACAGCTAAAAAATAATAATAAATAATTAAAAAAATCAATTATCCATTATGATTGGGAGCATCCAACAATTGACTTTTTCTTTCCTTTGGAAAATAAAGTGTAAAGTGGCGGCCAAATTCTGAGAATGAGAATCTACCCCTTAGAAAGGCCTCTTTTCCCCGTTATTCCATTTTAGTTAAAAAAAAAAAAAGACTGTTTACTTGGAATAACTAAGCGAATAAAATAACCAATTTTGTTTCGTGTTTGTTTTTGCGGTATTTACCAAAATGCACTGCTCTAAAGGAAAGGAGGCGTATCAATCAAAGCCCATTAACTTGACAGATATTAGTAAAATAAAAAAATTTTGAGTCCATAAACATCCACTTTGTTCAACATAGTTAGAAGACCCCAAAAGCATATTCCAAAGGGACTTTGAGTGGGAACCAAATCATACCACTTTCTCCAATTACTCTAATCTATAGCTGAATATATTATACATATACCCATCATCGGTCTTCTTTAAGTTGCAAAGAAAAGAGTAACTCTTACCCAAAAAAGGCAGACAAGACAACCCATCGCCGTTTCCTCCTCTACGCTTTGTATACTTAATTTCTCCATGTATTCTTCAGCCTAGCGTCTGCACTATGAAAAGAAAGGCAGTCGACTCTTTTTTAATACAAAGATGATACTAAGTTGTTTTCAAATATCTCATGTTCAAATAAATAAAAATCAAAGGAACTGAATTAACGGCTAAAAACTAGTAATTTTCAGTTGCTGGTGTCAAAAGTCGGAATCATTGTTGTATTTATGTTGGTTAGTTTGCAATCCTATAAGGATGGGTTCCACAGTTTTATTTTGGTAAATCTTTTGCCCTTGTCGTGTAAATAATTCATACATAATATATCTTCCACACCTTTGACCTTTACCCAACAATTCATCTCTGGAAATTCCTCTGAGAGTTAATCGGTTAATATGGCCATGGTTCTTGCTTGTCCAAAATTTTAATAAATAAACAAATACTAACAGCAACATTCTCAGTCAGCATTACCACCATATATATTGACAATAACATATCAAAGAAAAAAATCACCTATGGAACGGAACAAACATACTAACAAATAACTTCATTTTGGACACTTTAGTTGAGTTGACGGACAGTCATATTTAAAAGCATAATTCAATTCAATTCCCCAATATTCTAAAATATAAGGTGGAGGTGAAGAGATAAAAAACATGCACATACAATACGGGCTTGAAATGTTAGAAGTAGAGAAAGGAAAGCTAAGATCGAATCAGATCAAGCTCCATCTGGCTGGATGAATGGATTGGCAATCTCATCTGTGCCATCAGTTGGTGACACCAGCATAACTGCAGTACCCCTACAAACCTGCATTTAATCATTTAACGTATTGCTCAAATGCTACTAAAAGGTGGAAGGTGTGGAGAGGGAAGAACAAACATACTATCAAGCCAAGGCGTCTGGTCTGATCCGTAGTCTTCATCGGATCATCTGGATCTGCAAAATAATGCAAAAACAACAGAGCAAGTCAATCTTCCATTCTAGACCACTACTTTAGATTCTTGAACAAACTGAAAAGAAAAAAAAATTTCAAAATTTCAGAGTTAATAGTTCAAGTGGTTCAACAAAAGCAGATATCAACTCTTCTCAGAAGTTTCAAATTTCAGTTTGCAATTTTCCACAAACTCTTATTTCCTTAACACCTCAATAGGATTAGAGATCAATAAGTATCAGTCTACAGGAAATAAGACTAATTATTGCACTGAAAAATTATAGTCAAACAAATTGCCTAAAAGAGTTCAGAGCGAATAAACAGACCATCCAGACTACACATATAGAAATTTGAACCCTAAAGCTATTGTTTTCCTTTAAAAATGACAACTTGCATGCTACAACAATAACAACAACAACAAACTAAGCTTTACATCTCATAACTCTGGGGTCAACTATATGAAAGGCCGAAAAAGGGAATCATGTTAAGTTGTAGTTTTGAATCTTCCTGTGGCACTCATTTCTATCAATAACAACCTTTTCATCCACTTCTAAATTTGCATGCTAAGGAGAAACAAAAATTTAACGCACTTGCTCAGTAAAATATAAAGAAATTGAAGTTATTGTTTGAATGTTAAAGCAATTGTAGAACAAATTGCCTAAAAGAGTTCAGTGTAGCTAAACAGGCCATCCAGATTAAACATATAGAAATTTAATGTTAAAGCTATTGTTTTCCTTTAAAAATGACAACTAGCATGCTAAGGAGAAAAAAAAAAAGCATTTGCTCAGCAACATACAAAGAAATTGCATGAACTGTGAGCACACTCAACCAACCAAAGATCATATCCTCAAAACTGTGGTGCAGTAAAGGATTTGGGAAGATGCAGCAACTATTGCAAAAACAATCATCTGAATGAACTGATGCTAATTGCTTAACATGCTAGCAAGCATTTGTACAGACAGAGCTCTATATGCATGCTTATTTTTGCCTCTATGAACCAGCACACAAGTTCAATAGGTTCATTAGAGAAGGAAATCCTATAGCTCTGTAGGAAGCTTATGGAACAGACTTCCATGATTTGTTATCTGAGTGCTTTTGATGCCAAAATAAATGGTAGTAAGTAATAATCATCCTGCAACTTGCAATTTTCGATTTGAAAGAGAAAATTAAATCTAGTCATATATCCTACTCTTTTTCATTTATTCTAGATTACAAAAGAAGCATTCACTTCTTTGGAGTACGGAGAGACCTGACACTAGACTTAAGAAGAATCTTTGGAGGAGGTGAAACAAAGAGAAGGTGCCAAAGAAATTGCTTTGACGAAAACAAGTGAAGCACTTGCATCAAACAGCAAATTATTACAGAGGTATATATAATTACTATCTACTTAAGACTGGTAATTGGCCTTGAGAATGGATGTAGAAAAGGAGCAAATAAAACCACACATAGATGAGTTTTGAATAACAAGGCATCTAACATTCATCAAAGAATATAGTTTTAAAAGCTTGCATGTATAAAAACACAGAAACAAGCATGTTTGCAATGTGCCACAGAGGAAATTACCTCGAAGAAATTCTACAGCTTCATCCAGGACAAGATTTAGTAGCTGGTCATATCCTTTTAGGGTCCCTGTGACTGAAACAGAAAAAAGTAATAGCTCATTTAACAGATGATGATACATAAACTATATCAAACAAATGATAGGGAAATAGAAAATAACTTCAACATCTTTAGGGTGCATGAGATGATGCAATACTTGGCATTAGAGCCTAGAAGCTACTATAGTTGACGATAAAGCATCAGATTCCTGATGTCAATTTATTTCTATATGGTAATTCTTTAGCATCACTCATAAATCACACTCCATTTAAACCCGAGTGAGGAGGAAATTTTCAGTCGTAAAATCAGCACATAACATTTAATCAATAATCACCCAACCGATTCTTCTATATTCATATAAACACCTCAGAATGAAAATACAGCAACAGACCTTGTCTACCACCACTGAGTTTGACCTGAACACCTTTGTCTACAAACTTTGCCAAATCCAAGACTGTTTCTTTCCTGCCCGACTGCAAACATAATAATTATCCATTCTAAGTTGATGTTCTTTTTTTTTTTTAAATGTACAATAAGAAAGGAAGAAAAAACTAAAAGCTAATATTGAGAATAAACTATAAGCTTTAGAGTTTAGAAAGGGTGAGAGTGAAAAGTACCATATCGTATGAAGTTTTGACAGGTGCGTTGGAAATGAAACTCCTTTGGGTACTAAACCTAGAAATCGAAATCAAAGAACCCAAAAACTGTAAACAAACAGGAAGTTTGGTAAAGTTTTATGGATTTAACAAAGAAGCAGTAAGTCATAACAAAATCTGATAGAGCTGGTTCGGAATTAAAAAGAAAAAGGGGCTTAGGGATCTAACAGATGCAGTAGAGAATCAAGGGTGCCCTTACTTGACTTGATTTTCTCTATTCTTCTAATCAATCAGTAATCTCGTTTCCCGCTTTGGTTGCTTTGTGCGTCAAACCCTGAATGCCTAAAAACGACGGTATATCTCACCCTAAGCCCATTTTACGTTTGGGCTTTCCCAGCAGCCTTCTGTTTTCTGTGATTGTAATAGAAAATGCTGGATGAGTGACGACAAAATTAGGCTACACCCAGTGATTGGAGGGCATTAAAGTAATGATAAATACCATAGAGCCCTTTATTGCATAGGCCACTTGTCTAGTTATAATGGTGGGGAGATTTTAAATTTACCCTTTTTTTTTATCTTTTTTCACACTCCATTTCTTTTTAATTTTTCTTTCAGTAAAATTATTTTTTTTATTTTAATTTTAAATTTTTTGGCTTTTTTTTTGTAAATTATATAACTTACCATATATTTATTTTTTTAAGTTATATTTAGGTTTGAAAAAAATTTAAATGAAAAAAAATATCTTACAGATATTTTTAAGATTTTAAATATATAAATTTTTAAATTTTTAAAAATTTATGAATATGTAAATTTGAAAACTTTTAAAAACTTTTAAATTTGTAAATTCATAAGCTTAAAAATGAAACAAGTGTTAAAAAGAAGATAACTATGTAATTTATTTAAAATTGATTTAAAAAAAAGATACGAAAAGTAAAAAATGAGGTGTGAATAGAATATCTCATTTTAGTATGTAGGGAGCTTCTATTTGCATAAAAGTTTTTCTTTTCATACTTTTTAAAATTATTTTTAATTAAAATTATTTAATTATATATTTTTAAGTTTTTGAATATGGCTATAATAAGTTACATAACTTATTTGATTTTCTTATTTGATAAATTATTTAAACCTTTGCAAAAAAATTCTAAACCCTAAATTTAAAAATTCAATTAAGAAATTTTTTTTCATATTTTAAAGAATTTCTATAACATTACAAAAAAAATTATTTTAAATAATTATAAGTTTATCTAAAAATTGATACCTTAAAACTATAACTTTAATAGAAAAAGCACTTAATTATAACATGTGAGTCTTTGAAAATTTTCTTGATTTCAACAATATAAGAGAGAATAAAAGATAGGTGTTTATACGAGACTCCTAAATCACTCAAATAATATTCTTAACTATAATAAAAAACATTTAAAAGTTTTTTATATACCAAACAAAAAATTTTAAAAACCTTTTAGACATGTAAATTCTAAGGTTTTTAAAATTTTTTTGGAAGTATAATTAAATAATTTTATTTTGAGATAATTTAAAAAAAAAAAGAGCAATAGAAAAAGGTATGCAAATAAAAGTCTAGTAATATATACAAAGATTTAAATAGTGGTGGTATAGTGGTATAGCGACTGCTATTTTGTAATAGTATCATCATTTACCATTGCTTTTGAAAGAAAAATTGAGAAAAATTTGAATCCCAACTATAATGGCGTATCGCAATCGTAAATTCGACATAATATTCAATAATGACAATAACGGTCCGTTATTGCCCGTTATTTCATTTTTTATTCAAAATTTTAAGGAAAATTTTTTTTTTTTTTACTTTGGTTAAAAACTTAAAACAGAAATAATAAGTCAAAAAATAGACATCAATTCACAAATTTAGTAGAAAAAAAAATTCACAAAATTTGGAGACTTCCAAAGACATCAATTGTCTCAAATTCTATTTCAATCAAGATCAAGCATATGTAGTTTAAGGTAAACAATTAATTCAGCATTCAAATTATGTTTTTTTTTAAATAATTTTTTTTCCAAAATTGTAGTGATTTTATGTGTTTGGGATTGAATTAGGCTATGATACACTACTAAAAAGGAGTAGGAGGTATTGGAACTTAAAAAAAAAAAAAAAAAAGAGAGATTAGAGTAAGCTTGAGGTTAAGGGAGACAAGCAGGGAGCAACGTCAAAAAAAAAAAAAAAAGAGTTGAGAAATGGGGATGAAGATGAAAGCCTGAAGAAAAAAATTGTTGAATGTAAGGCAAGTGAATGAAAAGTTGTTGTGTGGATCTATGCGATTTAGTTAAGAGGCAAAGGAAGTAGACTTGAAAGCTATTGTTACCGAAGATTGCCCTTCTGCATGGAGGCTGACAAGTTCGATTTTTCGAAGGCTCATAAAAAGTAATTCTCTTGGCTCATAAATAGTAATACTTTTGCTTAATTTATAGATATCTAATAATTTATTAGCTGATTTATACATAATATAGTTTGATAATAATTTGATGAATATGATAATTAAATAGTTAAATATATCATTCATTATGATTATCTATTTTTCACATGTTTATTTATGTTTTGTTATTTTTTAATTATCATATGAATAATTTTTTGAATATAAATATTTTACTATAAATATTTTGCTTAAATAGATAAAACACATGACATGATATAAATTTTTTTAAAAATAATAAAATAAAAGTTTTTGTGATTAGTAATTAAAATTATATTTTATAATAATTTCAGCTAAATTAAAAAAAATTCATGATCGCAATAGTTGTAATAATCACGAAAATCTTTATTATATCAACAACCGTGACAAAAGCAACACAACCAAAAACGCGATATATGGGCGAGTACAAGGGTTTTATTCGTCGGAGACCTGATTGAGAGTGAGAGAGAGTAGTTGTTTTGGTTTTGGAGAATCAAGAGAAAACGGTAGACAAAGCAAGCAAAGGAGGAAAGGAGGGGTGGTCGCCAAAGAGTACACCGTCAACCTCCACAAGCGCTTGCGTGGATGGTAAATAACCTAACCCAGATCAAATCTATTCTTTTCTTTCTTTCTTCGATGCTTCCTTTCCCTTTCTGCCTTTTGTTGCTCAGATCGTCTGCTCTTTTTGATCTTATATAGTATACTAGTATATTTTGATGTTTAGGGTTATTATGATGGATTTCGAAATTGCCGTAAATGCATGCATGCATGTATGTATGTGTCATATGTAGCAGTTGATTGATTAGTTGCTTGCTCCAGATGTTTCATTTGGCTTCTCTTCTCCCCAGGTTTAGGTCTCATTTCGGTTTATTTGCGCTCAAGTTCCAGAGGATATTCGTATGGCCCTAGGTTACAGGATTTCTCTTGCGTGCCTTCTCTCAGTCACATGCTAATGTTTCCATCGTTCAAATTGCTAGACGCTAGTATTTGTGTAAATGTCGTTCCCAATGGAAACCTTATGATTAGAATTTTCAAATGTATAACTTTCTGATTTTCTTACTTGGCTTGGATTGCTCTATTTCTATGTAAACAACAGTATTCTCTTTCTAAATCATAGGGAACCGAGTTTTCTTTTTTTTTTTTTTGACTGCCATGCGGTTCAAATCAGAAGATAAATCAAACTCTTGCTATAGTCACACAAAATATTCGCAGTTGAGTTCCACTTAGCTCCAGTGTTGTTTGACAATTGACGGGTGTTATTCCCTTTTTATTTCTTTCCATTGTAGTTTTTGTCATTTCCATTTAGTTTATGTTATGCAATGTAATCTGGAAATTTGAACGAAGCTTTCCACAGCACATTTAAGAAGAAGGCACCAAAGGCCATCCCAGAAGGCCATAGGGACAACTGATGTCAGAGTTGATGTAAACCTCAACAGGCATGTATGGACCCATGGGATCCGAAGTGTGCCGAGGAGAGTTCATGTCCGTATTGCAAGGAAGAGAAACGATGAAGAGGATGCGAAGGAGGAGTTTTCCTCTCTGGTAACTATAGCAGAGATGCCTCCAGAGGGTTTGAAGGGTTTGGGAACGAAGGTCATTGATGAAGACGACAGAATTTACTGTCCTACTTAGATCTTTGTTAAGTAAATTCAAATTTTGGTTTCTCTATTGATTGCAGATATATTGGCTTGGTTTGGTTTGGTTTTTCTTTGTGTTCTCTATCTTTGATCTTGAACTTAATTGTGATTTTTCATTGGTACTTAAATAGGTGGCAGTTTCTTTGTCTGAGGATTACTTTTGATTTGTCTTACAATGTTGTTGGATGCTGTGTTGGGAATAGAGTTCCTGAAGAATGATATGTTACTTGGTACTATAAGCTTTAGGTATAGGAGTTTCCTATATGTTTTTCTATGAGTTGGATGTAGAAGAAACAGATTGTGGTATGTGAGATGAGGTATTGAGGGTTTTTTTTATAATAAACTTTAGCTAGATGGCTCATTTCATGGGTGAGAGATGAGAGAAGAGTTATTAAGGCGGCACAAAAAGCCATATATAGGTTCATAAATTGTGATTATGGTATTCCAACGTGGGTAAATGAAATTGAGCTTAATTTTCTTGTGCTAAGTGCTAAAAGCCGAAAGGGAAAGGGAAAGGGACTTGGGTTGGGATGATGGTTGTTGGAACCAGGCCCGATCAACAAGCATCCTAGCAAATTTCGTATAGGAAAATACCCTATTACCATGTTTGTTCATTATAGATTTAATCTTATACTTTTTTTTATATGGTATATAAATCTATCCAATATCTTTGAAGTTGAGGGCATTTCACAAGCAAACAATTGTTTGCCGAATATTTCCATTTTAAGTTTTTATGTTGGAAAAGAAAAAAGATGGCCCATAAAAAGGTGTTTAGTTTTTTGGGCCCAAGCTGTGGAGTTTGGAAGCAGGCAGCTAAAACATAGGCACTTCCTCCCTCCCTCAAGGCATCAACTCAAATTCAACCCCCTCATTCTCTCCCTCAGTCCCCAGGCCAACTCCACTGACTGGGATTGCGTCCCGTTTCAATCTCTCTTTTTCCAGGCCATTTTCTTTCTTGTCATCTACTTCCCACATCTCGCAAAAGGAAACTATGAGGGCATTCCTGACTTCCTCTTTTGGATTTCGCTGACATTTTTGTTTATATGTTGGCCAAGGGGAGGCGATTCATTGCTTTCTTTGTTCGTTTGGTTGCTCGATTCAAATCCAAAGTAAGTTTCTCTTTTGGTTTTATTTTTCCTGATTTCCTTTTCCCTGCACTTTTGTTGAGTTTCATGTTTTAGTTTCGTTTTTAAGGTAATCATATTTTATGCAAGTGCAACAAAGAGTTAGTAAGCCGTTGTTTCTCTGCTCTTGCACTTGCGTTTCAGATTTTTTTCCCCTTTTTCTTGTTTGTATTGTTAGCTTGGCAAGAAAGAGGCTCCAGGTTGTTTAAAAAAAAGATTGAAATTCCTGTCTTTTTTCTTTAAGGTTCAAGTTTTCAACTACCCACCAGTCTAGATTTTATC